CCTCCTCCCATGCCTCCTCTGCCTCCGGAGATGGTGGTCCTGCCTATCACAGCTGCAAGAGAAGCACAGGTTACACACACGTTGTCCATGGGCAGGCTCTATCTCCAGAAGGAAACAGAGGCAGATACTTACAGACATTGACGTTGGACATGCCGTCGTTGCACAGCCTGGGAGGGAAATTGGTAAAAGAGACACTGTTAAAATGAGAACTCTATTTTCATCTTCTAACCATTTTCCTGTTTTATCCTTATCAGCAACTTTGGTGTCACTACAGTGTTTAAGGAGGGAAGGATTTGAGACTTCCACTTTACAACGATGCCCTTCCGGATTCAGGGTTCATGTAACAGAGATGAAATGGCAGCTCCACTCCCTGCAGTGAGCAGGGTACAACTGTGATTGGTCCTGATCATTCCAAGTGTCAACCAGTGCCAACTGCCCATCTACCCATTCTCACCCAAAGACCTGGTTTGAGATGACACTGTTGACATCAAAACTCAAGGTGTCCAGCACAGACCCTAGCTACAGATCCTAGGCACTGTCCTAACATCCCTCCCAGAGACCATGGGTTTACCTGTTCTCCTCTCCCTCCAGCAGCTTCCTGTACATGGCAATCTCAACGTCCAGCGCGATCTTGATGTTGAGCAGCTCCTGGTACTCCTTCAGCAAGCGAGCCAGCTCCTCCTTGTCCTTCTGCAAAGCAGACTCCAGCTCCTCCAGTTTTATCCTGGCATCCTTCAGGGCCATCTCACCCCGCTCCTCAGCCTCAGCAATTGCTGCCTGAAGATGCTGGTTCTGAGGAAGGAAACAGGCACTTTCTCAGTTGGTTACATATGATCAGCCTCAAACCCAAGTGGAGAAGTCAAGGGAATGCAAAGAAAGGAAGCATCTGCATGCAGTAAACAAGGGGTACTTGAAGAAACCATTTCTGCCCCATACGTTGTCATTTGTGGTCCAACCTGATGCCGTTACCCAACACGATGCTGTGGAGCCCCTACCTGCTTCTTGACGTTCTCAATCTCAGCCCGCAGCCTCTGGATGTTCCTGGTCAGCTCTTGGATCTCTATCTTGGTGTTGCGGAGGCTGTCCCCATGCCTTCCAGCAGTGCTCTGCAGCTGCTCGTACTGGTGGCACAGAGACAAAGTGGCAGTGACACATTACTGATGCCCAGACAAGGTTTATTAACACTCTCAGCTCATGTGCTGCTACGAGAATCTATCACATCGGTCATGGATGCCCAGATCAATATAGAAGATGCTTCTGAGACTCAGTTCTTGGGTTTGAACTATGAAATAGATCTGAGTGACTCTATCAGGCATCCCTTGGCTTCTGAAGAGCTACTTTGGACACACATTTTCTAGTTAATGTACATATTTGGCCATCTTTATTGAGACGCTTGTACCGTGCACCAAAGTGAGGGTCTGGACACATTGAAAACAGTGACTCACATCCCTCAAGAGCAACATGGTTCCTCTTGAGGCTTCCTTGCATGAGCTCCAGCACCGTGAGCTTGAGGAAATGTCTCCTATTGTCATCAATTACTTGAAAGTCCTCACCACCACCTGGGCTCCTGACTTGCTCCCAGCTTACCTGGCTCTGATACCAAGCCTCAGCTTCAGCTCTGCTGCTCTGGGCGATCTGCTCATACTGGCGCCTGACCTCCTCAATGATGCTGTCCAGGTCCAGGTGCCGGTTGTTGTCCATGGACACCACCACAGACAGGTCCCGGCTGATGGTCTGCATCTGAGACAGTTCCTACAACAAGACAGGAGTCAGCCTGAGCATCTGAAGAGGGCAGAGGGGAGCAGCAGCTCCACCCAGCCTCTCCAGACCAAATCCAATGGACACCCAGTCCCACCTCAGTGTCTTTGGCCCCCACATTACAACTGCAGCCAGCCCAGGGGAAGGGAGAGCTCTTACCTCCTCATAGATGCACCTCAGGAAGTTGATTTCATCGGTCAGAGCTCCCACCTTGGCTTCCAACTCTACTTTAGTCATGTAGGCACTGTCCACATCCTAAAGGAAAGATCAGACAATAGTTTAATTTCCTCTTGGAAATCCTTTGAAATCATGGAAATTACAGCCTGTGGTGAGGGTGAGAGCTGTGATGGTGTTACTCAGCCATGCAAATTAAAAACAAGGACTTCAAACATCAGCCCACGGATCCTACAGCTCCACAGGCTCCCACTCAGGATGGAGCCCATCCAAGAACAATGAAGCCCAATGTCCAAACCATCACTTTGTAGTGTGTGATTCACCTTCTTAAGCACCACAAACTCGTTCTCAGCACTGGTGCGCCGGTTGATCTCTTCCTCATACCTACGGAGAGTAAAAATACAAGTTGAGTTTCCTGAATTCTCCTGCCTGAGGCCACACTAAAGAAACTGCAGGAAGAAACAACAGAACAGCACATTCAGACTGAACAAACTGTGTCCACAACTGCCATAAGAAGGATTTGAGTGAAGAAAAGGGGCTGCCAAGCTGCTTGAGCTGCTCTCTGGCTTGGTCTGCCTCAGCACTTACTTGGTCTTGTACTCCTCCACGTACTGCTGCATGTTCTGCAGTTCTGACTCGAGCTGCCCCCTCTGTGCCAGGATTGAATCCAGCTGCCTCCTCAGGTTCTGGATGTAGCTTTCAAAGATGGTGTCGAGGTTCTTCCTTGGCCCTGAAGGTCCTTGCTGCTGGAGCAGCTCCCACTTGGTGGCCAGGACCTTGTTCTGTTGCTCCAGGAAGCGCACCTGAAGGCCAAGATGTGGAGTATCCACCATCACATGGGGAGCAGTGGCTGAAGCACCTCTTTCACCACATAAAATGATTCTCCTTCATGTGATGATGGGACAACATGAATTAGTTTATATTTTTAATGCCTGTTTTTGCCTAAACCATGAGATTGGAAAAAGGAGGGAATTCCCAAGTTACATGCAAGTCAAAGGAGCTGGATAGAAACATCAGATTTCGAGTCTAGATAGAAAAGCCTGGATATTTGAAAACAAAGAGGGAAAAAGTGATATCACTGAAGGCTTCCATGGGAGGGTGTTAGGAAAGAGAATGTTAAAGGAGGGAGAACTTGTACCTGAAACCTGCAGATGTTTGGAGGCGTTGAGCCTGCTTGCAAGAACAGCCTATTAATGGAGCCTGGTGCAACAGGCTAGATTAAAGCCCTGAAGACACAGCTTTGATCTCCTATGGAAGAGAGATTCTCATCTCTTCCCCAGCAGAACTTCATGAAAAGCTTCTGCTCAAGCTCCTCAGCCTGCTGGAATTCAGTTCTGCAGGATTTGGGATTCCTCCCAGCTTTGGTCCTTCATTAGACATGATCCCACCCTCTCACCTTGTCAATGAAGGAGGCAAATTGATTGTTAAGAGTCTTGATCTGCTCCTTCTCCTGGTTTTTAACTTGCTGGATCTGGGGATCAATCTCAACATGGACTGGCTGCAGGAGGGTTGAGTCAATCTGCACTGGCTGGATCCCAGGGCCACCTCTACCGGGGCCACCAAAGCCTGGCATGCCGAAGCCTGGGCCACCAAAGCCGCCCATTCCTCCACCGCCCATTCCTCCACCATAACCACCCATTCCTCCACCATAGCCACCCATTCCTCCACCACCCATTCCTCCACCACCACACATTCCTCCAAAGCCACCCATTCCTCCACCAAAGCTGCCTAGACTTCCTCCGTAGCCTCCACCAAAGCCACCCATTCTGCCTCCATATCCTCCACCGCCATAACATCCACCCATGGAGATTCTTCCACTGCCACCTATGTTGTGGAGGCTCCTGCTGCTAAACCCTCCACAACGTCCACCACCTCCAAATCCCCTGGACACAGACAATGAGCTGTAGCTGCTTCTGCTTCTGCTGCCACCTCCTCCAAAGCCACCACCGATGGCAGAGCAAGAGCTGTAGCCCCTTCTACTCCCTCCTCCAAAGCTTCTGCAGACAGACTGCCGAGACATGGCTGGTTCTTCAAAGTGGATTCAAAACAAAGAAGATAAGAAAGATCAATGGAGTCGTGCTGCAGGGAGGTGAGTGCAAGGAGAAGGGAAGTAGGTCCCTCTGGCTGGAGGGCAGTGGGTGCTCTCTTATATCTGTTCCTGGAGGTGGGCTGGGTTTGCATGGGCGTGAAGGAGGAGACAGGTCCTGTCTTCATCAGCGTGGCGTGGTTTACAGATTTCCATCTTCAATTTGCCCAACATTGACCCTACCCAGAAACACACCCTGTAGTGCAGGGGAAAATTAGAGAAGATACAACTGTGTCTCCAGATGGGCGCTCTCCATGACTAACGAGTCCTCCGCTCCTGCGGTGCCATAACAGTCTCTCCACAACACACCGGTCTCTCTCTTCACCTTTCATCCACTGTGGTTGCCTCTCTGCTTGTGTTTATCTGCACTTGGTCTCTCCCTCCAAAGCCCCATGGCATCAAGCACTGCAGCTTCATGCCAAGTTCGATCCTGGCTTTCACAATTCCCAAAACACGCCTGTGTCACACCCTTCGTCTTTTTCTTACATGGAAAATTGCCTTTGGCTTTGAGAAGCAGTTTCTCAATCCAGAGCCAGGGTTTAGCAAATTGCATTTTGATGAGGCTCCGTGTCTTCCCGATAAATAAAACCTGACCAGAAAGAAGGCACCAGAGCAATGGTTGGCATTGGGAGCAATGGTTGGCACTGGGAATTCATTCACTGTTGGACCAAACTCTTATTGAGAGTCCTGCAGTCCTCCTGCCAAGACATTCCCAGCACCATGGGAAATCCCTTTAGGACTTTCTAAAGGCTTCAACACTATGAGAAGACACCAGGAACCCTGCTGCTCCTGTCGGAAGTGTGGATGGACTGAAAGCAGACATTGAGGAGGAGGCATGCCAAAGCCAGAAGGAAGCCTGTAGCTATTTGAATGCAATTATGTAGGCAGAGGGTGGAGTAGAGCTCAACCCGTTTGTAGACACATGGAGATGAGGAGAACGGAGGGCACAATTCCTCTCACTGGAGGACATAGGTGGTTTGGGACTCCTGGCTCTCTTTGGGGGTTATATGCAGATGTTTCCTTGGCAGACACACATGTGTCTGTGCTGAGCCCTCAGGAGCACGGGCAGCTTTCCCTTGTGGAGCACATTCAGAAGCAGTCACCAGGCTTTAGGAGCTTATCAGAACACTCCAGGCTTGCTGCCATCCTGGGAAAGGCTAAGCTCATGAGCTGAACTGAACCAAGCCTCTGACCCATCCTGCACTCACCCGCCTGGCTGGGGAAGGCTGTTTATCAAAGAGCAATTCAGGCTCATTTTAAAACTGCCCATTGAGGAATTCCTTTTATTCATTAGTTTTCAACCTTTTAAAGACCTTCTGACAGTCCTCCAGTAGCTAAAGGGCCAAGAGGAACCTGGAGAGGGGCTTTGGACAAGGGCCTATAGGGACAGGCCAAGGGGAATGGCTTTAACCTGCCAGAGGGGAGATTAAGATGAGCTCTGAGGCAGAAGTTCTTCCCTGTGAAGGTGCTGAGGTGCTGGCACAGGGTGCCCAGAGAAGCTGTGGCTGCCCCATCCCTGGCAGTGTTCAAGGCCAGGTTGGACACAGGGGCTTGGAGCAACCTGCTCTAGTGGAAGGTGTCCCTGCCCGTGGCAGAGGCTGGAGCTGGAGGATCTTTAAGGTCCCTTCCAACCCAAACCATTCCATGGTTCTATGATCTTTATGACTATTGAGGCACCCAACT